GGGATGTTCAGTCAGAACATATGCGGTGCGAAACTAGGATGGTTCACAACACAAACGTCCGTGTCCTCGTCTGATTCATACCCCTTTTCCACCAACAAGAACCGGGTGCTGGTCCAGAGCCAGAGCCAGAGCTGGTTCGGAGTTGGTTCGACTGACAAGCTTACTAAGAACCGGTTTGCCTTTCCACCGGCTAGAGAGCCACAACAGAGCCAGATCTTACATCACTGCATTCGTCTCATGTTGCCCAGCAACGCTAGTGCGGTAGCGTCAAACACCCCAGGCTTGTTCGAGATGCATCGGCTTCTCGCAGATCGATCGCCGCATGACATCAAAGCACTGCGAAAGCGATCCAAAAGCACAAGGAGTCGTATGATCTCCAAACACTCCCGCAGCTCCGATCGGTCCGCGCCGCTCCGATGCATCTCGAACAAGCCATCAACAATAACGGACGTTGCGTTACTATGTAGAGCTGGGTTTCGATTCAAATTTCAAGAATCGATTCGATTCCGATTCTCAAGATCTTGAATCGATTATCATTATTCGATTAGTGCTGCCACTAACGACTAATTTTCTAACGACTAATTTTTCGATTAGTCGACTAATCTAAACGACTAATTAAAAAAAAAACATTGTTTGTCATTTCGTTGTGTCCATTTTATTTTGTACTGAAGGGCCAAAATACACTCACCGGCCACTTTATTAGGTACACCTGTCCAACTGCTCGTTAACACTTAATTTCTAAGCAGCCAATCACATGGCGGCACCTTAGTGCATTTAGGCATGTAGACATGGTCAAGACAATCTCCTGCAGTTCAAACCGAGCATCAGTATGGGGAAGAAAGGTGATTTGAGTGACTTTGAACGTGGCATGATTGTTGGTGCCAGAAGGGCTGGTCTGAGTATTTCAGAAACTGCTAATCTACTGGGATTTTCACGCACAACCATCTCTAGGGTTTACAGAGAATGGTCCGAAAAAGAAAAAACATCCAGTGAGCGGCAGTTCTGTGGGCGGAAATGCCTTGTTGATGCCAGAGGTCAGAGGAGAATGGCCAGACTGGTTCAAGCTGATAGAAGGGCAACAGTGACTGAAATAACCACTCGTTACAACCGAGGTATGCAGCAAAGCATTTGTGAAGCCACAACACGCACAACCTTAAGGCGGATGGGCTACAACAGCAGAAGACTCCACCGGGTACCACTCATCTCCACTACAAATAGGAAAAAGAAGCTACAATTTGCAAGAGCTCACCAAAATTGAACAGTTGAAGACTGGAAAAATGTTGCCTGGTCTGATGAGTCTCGATTTCTGTTGAGACATTCAGATGTTAGAGTCAGAATTTGGCGTAAACAGAATGAGAACATGGAACCATCATGCCTTGTTACCACTGTGCAGGCTGGTGGTGGTGGTGTAATGGTGTGGGGGATGTTTTCTTGGCACACTTTAGGCCCCTTAGTGCCAATTGGGCATCGTTTAAATGCCACGGCCTACCTGAGCATTGTTTCTGACCATGTCCATCCCTTTATGGCCACCATGTACCCATCCTCTGATGGCTACTTCCACCATGTCACAAAGCTCTAATCATTTCAAATTGGTTTCTTGAACATGACAATGAGTTCACTGTACTAAAATGGCCTCCACAGTCACCAGATCTCAACCCAATAGAGCATCTTTGGGATGTGGTGGAACGGGAGATTCGCATCATGGATGTGCAGCCGACAAATCTGCGGCAACTGTGTGATGCCATCATGTCAATATGGACCAAACTCCCTGAGGAATGCTTCCAGCACCTTGTTGAATCTATGCCACGAAGAATTGAGGCAGTTCTGAAGGCAAAAGGGGGTCCAACCCGTTACTAGCATGGGGTACCTAATAAAGTGGCCGGTGAGTGTATATAATGTCACCTGTTGAAAAACATTATGTATTAACAATCTAAGCATAAGTATCTGCATTTCCATTACCATTAGTCAGAGTCCTAATCTAATCCTCTATTAACAAACATGCATGTATTCATTACTTAAATTAGCTCTTTGTTCTGCCTTAAATTAATACATTAGCTTACTGTACATTTTTATATGTACATTTCTGAAATGCATAACTGAAAACATCACTGTGAATTATAGGCTAAAGTAGATGCACTCATGCATTTTGGGTAAAGCTGCTTTGAAACAATATGTATTGTGAAAAGCAATTGGAATTGAATTGAAAGAGTCTGGACTAGCCTACTACGCTTAGCTCTGCCTTATAATGAATCGCGCTGAAGCAGGCAGGCACGCAGATATGCAGCTCTCGTTTACACTTGCGTGCATGCCGGGCCCGTGCCGCGGTTCGCGTGAATGTGAAAGCAACACTGACTCGGGTGCGCGTTTTAGCTGATTATGTATTTAGTTAAATAAAACACTTGTAAGCAGGGATGATAGTGTTGATGATTTACCTTGGATACGAGCGAGAGTGAGTCTGCAGTGTATTCGCGCTTAGCCCGTGGAATCAGGGCAACACATTTGGAAAAGTGTCTCCTCAAAAGAGTCCATTTGCAAGCAGCAGAAGGCCACCTTATGCGACTTACGCACCTGTGTTGTTCACTCAGCTGCGCATAATAGCACAGAATTAATTAAAATATATATATATATTGACCCGCGTTCTGTTTTCTATCATGCGCCGTGTACGTTTGCGATTGCGTAAGATGCACGCAAACACACCAGGGTTCGGTAGAATTAAGTTGAGTGTGAAACCAGACCAACGCTGCGGGGGCGCCGGGAACAATCGCGCGCGGGCTCGGATCGCAGCAAACGAGCCCCGTGTGAAAGCACCGTCACGTGCCTCCACAATTTTTCATATCAAAGCAGTGAAGGCGGGGGAGGGGGAAGGAAGAGGATGGCAGATTAACCAGCAGGGCGCGCACAGCGCACAGACTGGTGTGTGGAGGTGAATTACAGTGAGCCGTTTGAGACGGGAGACCAAAAATAAATATGCGGTCAAACTTAAAACGACACGTCGACTAAAAAAATTGGCGTCGACTAATTTGCATGGTCGATTACGTCGACTAAGTCGACTAATCGCGGCAGCACTATATTCGATTCGATCCGATCTGATCCGATTTTCGAGATTTAGATAAGTGTTGTTTTTGTTTTTTCCAGCTGTTACCTGAATTACAGGACTGTAGTTATTCAACATATTGATACTATTAGGCTATTATAGACATTTAACTGCTTGTTTTGAACTTCATGCATGTGTATTGAATGTTAAACAAGTTCATAATGATAACAAACAAGATTGTTTATCGTGGTGATTTGTAGCCTACAGAGGCTTCGCACAGACAGTGAATGAGAGAGATCGGCAGAGCCCGTGCGGATTACCTGCGTCTGTCTTTGAGGTCATATGTATTCGTGAAAAAGGTTGCCGTGTCAAAGGAAAGCGAAATATTTGTCGTATCATCCTTTTAACGTTCACGTCACGGGTATTTACCATAAATGCGCGTCAGCAGCAGCGCTGGTCAGCATTCCACAGCGCGAGGAAGCCGCGGGGAAATAAAATCAGGGAGTCACGCATTGAATCAAAGCTATATTGGTCTCTAATAAGTGAAGCATCAGCTTCAGCGTTACCCATGCGACGCATTGCTGCTCAGCTGAGCCTTGAAAAGTGGAACTCAAAGTTAAAAATAATTAACACCTTGTTTCATTACATCTCTTTTAATGAATCAGCTTTTTTTGAACGTGTTCGTTGAATGAACGAATGACTCACTCAAAGCCCGTTGTTGTAACAGTGTGCACGCTGAGTGAAAGCCTTTACATACAGGGATCTCCCAGTCGCGGCAAGTTAAAGTTCACGGGGAAAATGTAAGCCTATTATTAAATCGATCCTCTGAGTTACGGATCGATCTTTAGAAATTAATATGAAAATCGATTCAGAATTGGTGAATCGATTTTTTTCAACACAGCCCTATTACTATGGATGCTCATGGGTTTGCAAAAATACATCGGAATCCAACGCGTTTGTGCAGCTCGCCGTAACTTATATAGACGGATATTATAATCAAGCTGCTATTAGCTCGACTAGCTGCTATTTAAAAATGGCGGTCACAAGTTTCTATTCGTCTTGTTGGTCACGGTAACCCCGCCCCCAGCCCCTGACGCAAGTGGTTCTTACTTGGCTCTGTTCTAGACCAGCAATGATTTGGTGCTACTTAAGAACCACTTTTCCTGGTTCGGAGCTGGTGCTTTGCGTGTGGAAAAACAAAGAACCGAATTGAAACTAGGCTCTGGCTCCGAACCAGCACCAGCTCTGCCTTGGTGGAAAAGGGGTATCGGAGATTTCATCCAGGAGAAATTGCCATCGTTAAAATTCTTTGCAGCATACGGACTCTATCTCTGTGTCTGTAGGCGCCCAGTGAGAGCACAGGCCCCACCAGTCCGCCCCAGCTCGAGCCAGTCCGGGCTCCTCGTCCGCGACAGGCAGCCGCCTCCTGTTCCTCCATCAGCCTCAGCTGCTCTTCGCTATTTTGCAGCTCGTAAAAGTAGCCACGAACATCTGATTCGAGCATCAGACTTTCAAAATCCTCTTCTTCCATATCATATTGAGTAGCTACATTTTGTCATTGTCGTCACTTCACATCTGGCTCCACAGCGCCTATTAGCTTAGCTTCCAAAAAAGATGGAGGATATTGTTTTTAGTTTCAGAAAGTAAAGTCCCACCCACTGATCTGTAATAGGTCTGTAGCGTGAGTGGGTCCCACCCCCTGGAAAAATGAGGAACGAGTGTTTGTAGTCTCAGCTCCTCTACAAAGATATGGGACTTCCTGCTTAAAATGAAGCAAAATGACGATTTTTACATCATTATAAGCAGGAACTGCAACACTGAAATCCTTATTTCTCCCGTCTCTGGGGGAAATGAGGGAATAATGCACGACCATTCAAAAATATGACTGGGTTTCTAATGATACAAAGCTTAATGCAAATGGGTGAAGTGTCCCTTTAAAGCGTTCACCTTTTTATTTTCATTGCAGGACTCTCTCGTGGTGTGGCTTTCATTCGATTTGACAAGAGGTCGGAGGCAGAGGATGCAATTAAGGACTTGAATGGGCAGAAGCCGCCAGGCGCTGCAGAGCCCATCACTGTCAAGTTTGCTGCCAGTCCCAACCAAGTGAAAAACTCACAAATTATTTCCCAGGTTTACCACACACAGCCTCGCCGCTTCGGGGGGCCCGTCCACCACCAGGCCCAGAGATTCAGGTGAATGAAGTCCAATATTGTATTTCTCTATTTGCTTGGTTAGCATATCCAGGGGTGCGCAATGCTGCGCATGCATGGTAAAAAATAAACGATGCACAGCAGAAAACGTGGAGGGAAGCACTTTTTTAGTACCAACATTTTTGGGGACAAGTACATGTTTACTTACTGGAGTAGGATTTTTCTCCTTTTCTGGTAAGATGGCAATCATGATAAGTGTGTTCATTAGTTATTAGGGGTGCAACAAATTGCAGTTGATCCGTGATCCTTACGGACCAGGCCCCATTTTTCCGGCACACGTGATTTGCGGATTAACTGCTAAGTTTAACTATCATAGTGAAAATTTGTTATTTGGATGTTTTGTCTTGCCAATTTACACATTCAAATGCTTTTAAACGTGGAAGAGGCGAAAATCGGGAGTCGCGCGATGTTATCTCTGCGCACAGCATCACGCACCCGAATATAATACATTTATTCGATAAAATGTATCGATCATCGATTAAGCAGGTTCATGCGTGTGTGCTGCTCAACCGCGAAACATGTAAAGCGAGCGTGTCGAAGATGTTTGGGACCATTTTACACCATCATGACTAAGTTTGCGTGTGCATTCGCAGCCTTTTGTTTTGTGCAAATGTAAGTTGTAATATTGTTTATTTTGTGTAGGCCTATCTATATCTGATTTATCTCATATAGGATGCATTTGGTTAAGAATTAATGTAGTAAAGCGTACGGTTATCCTCTACAGCTTCAGCGCGCGCAGCTCAAACGGCAATGCACGACTAATGACTATTGGGACTGTCATATTACATAACATTATAAAGAGAACAATATTGTAATAAAACATTGTGAATTATTTGGGTTTAGTTGCCGTGTCGCGTTGATCCAGGAAGAGCGCATCCACAACATGAGTCATTCTGAATGGCACGTAACTTAGTTCAAGTTCACTTGTGCATTTGCGTAATTTTGTGCAGATATAATTTGTAATATTATGTTTATTTTGTATATATCTCATTAATCTCATATAGGATGCATTTCTTTGAGTTAAATAACGCACTAGCAAAGTGCTCCAGTTTAACAGTATTCATTCAGCCCACGCAGCTCAAACAGCAATGCACGACTAATATCTATGATTGTGACTGTCATATTACATAACATGAGAACACTATTTTATTAAATCGTTGTGAATTCAATGGGTTTAGTTGCCGTTTTCAGTGCATTGTTCCAGGAAGAGCACGTCCACAACAGTCACACATTCTGACAAGCACTGAGGCGGCGTTGGTGACACGTTGTATTAGTCGTTATATTCGATTAAGGCGAGACACTACAGGTTAATAGGGTAAAAATTTTAACTTGAAGATATCACCATGAAACGTTACCAGTTGATTACTCGCATGAATAGGAGATAAAAAATGTTGTGCAAGTTTTCTGTAATTTTATGTTTAAATGTGCTAATCAGGCTATATCTAATTAAATAATTTGCATATATTTTGAAGTGACGAATCTGACCATTGGGGGAAAAAAACAAGGTTCAAAATTATTTTTGCATTTTGTTAATATATTCAATGAAAAGACATTACCAGAGGGGATTATGAATATCTCCTTTTGTTACCCTGTAAATCAAATGTCACATAAAATGTCATATAAATCAGGCCAAGAATGATATATCAACAAATCCCTCTGGACAAACCTTCACAATATAGTTAGGAATACGACTGTAAAGTTTGGTGTACGTAGGTGCTACAGAAGTGGAAAATCGTCACTAGGAGTGTGAGAAACTCATTTTAAGAAAACGGCTTTTAAAGATACAAAAACTGAAATGTGTTGTGCAATGTAATTGTTTTGTATATATAGTGTGTATAGTATATATGTATGTATATAATGTCAGAGCGCGTCACGTGACGATTCTGAATCGCGTTGTCAAAAATTGGCATCAGCCAATGAGATTGCGCATTTTGAGTGCAGACAGCGATCGCGGAGCACCGGGATGATTTAACTTTCAACTTTTGATGAATTTAGGTGAAATCTAAACACTTAAACAGACAAAGTGTAGTAAAATAAAGACCTAAATGTGTATTTTGGACTTTTTTTCCACCACAAATAGCCCAAAATCTCAAAATTGACCTGTGAAAAAACCCCCAATGTTTTTGTCTGCCGTGTCTCGCCTTAAATTATTAATTTAATTAAATGATCAATCACATCGAAACATTTTACAATCCTACTAGCCCTTTATTTAGATTTAAAACCATTCTCATTCATTTGGTGAGGAACATAGAGTTTTGAGCAGCATTTGCAGACCCTGTCATGCTGTTGGCCATATGCCACTGCAGCAGACACATATTGCAGTATTAAGGCTAACGATTAATTGATCGTTAATTTAAACGACGATCGATCATGGGAATTTGTGAAAATTTACATCCCTAACACATACACACAATTGTCTAAATGCCCATCTCGACAAGTATTCTCTCGGTTATGTCATAAGTGAACAGTTGAGAAAAAAATCGGATGCGTGTCAGTATTCAGTGACAGCAGCCTAATATTCCTACTGTTGTCTGTCAATGTTAATAAAAATAAAATAAAATACAGCTTTAACATAGATGAACCTATATTTAATTTCTACAGTGAACAGATAGTGTTATTTTACATTTAGGCAGCTTGTAGGACAAGTGTGCCACGTAAAGTGAGTGTACCAAGCAGCATCTCCAGTAGGGGTGGGGGAAAAAATCGATTCTTAGATGCATCGCGATGCGGACGTGGACGATTCTGAATCGATTCACAAATGTCAAAAAATCGATTTTCCCAAAAAAAAAAAACTCTGAAGCGCGGAAGTGCAGTGGCCGGACCGTCTGTGGCGTGCACATAACAGAGACGCGATGGCTGAGCGCTAAACACCCTCCGCGTTAGGTTAAAAGCTGACGTGTGGAGATATTTTGGCTTCTGAAGTTGAAGGGGGAAAGGAGCTGGACAAGAGCCACACTAGTTGTAAGCTTTGTATAATAAAACTAACGACCGAAACACGACAAATATGAGAAACCATATGACACGTTTCCAGCCAGAGGAGGAAAAACACTCGGCTGTACCAGTCGTTATAATATTAATTTACTACAAGTATGCTCCTAGTTTAGGCACACATTTATTTTCCTGTTGGTTCTTTGCAATGTTAATAAAATATATTGTACGTTAATTCTTTATGGGTCATTACTTTGTACTTTTAAAGCAAAGTATTTATAGTCACACACACACAAAAGATTCAGATAATTGATTTGTAACATTATAAATGTCTTCACTGTAACTTTTGATCAATTTAATTTATCCTTGATGAATAAAAGTATTGATTTCTTTTTTCTTTCGCCCAAAAAAATTAAATAAAAAATCTTACCGACTCCAAAATTTTGAACGGTATTGTTTAATGTTACAAAAGCTTTCTATTTCAGATAAATGCTGTTCTTTTGAATTTCTGGGTGATTCTCTGAATTGGGTGCCCTTCAAATCCCCCAAACTTGCTTCAAAGATTTTCAATTGAAGGAAATCACAAAATGCATTTTAACGCTGTCAATTAATAGAACCAGGTGCCTTTGCATTATAATGCAACACAATTGCTTTTAAAAAATAATTTAATTTAAAGATAATGGGTTGCCTAAGTAGTAGACAACAAGCATGTTTGCATGTCCTCAGTAACCATCATTACATTTTCATTGAATATCAAACAAATAAAAAGTGCAAATTAATACCAAAATGTTGCTGCTAATATAATCATATGTTGGTCTAGTGTATTTTCGTTTACTGTTGTGAAATGGAAAATCAATAATCGCTAATCGAGAATCGTTAATAATCGAAAATCGACTGTAATCGAATCGGGACTTCAATAATCGTAATCGAATCGAATCGGGAAATCAGACAGATTAACCACCCCTAATCTCCAGGTACTCCCCATAGCATATCGCTCTTAAAGTTGGTGTGAAACGAAAGTTACGATTTGTCTTTTCTTCCCTATTGTGATGTATATATTTGAGTGAAGTGGCTTCTCAAACAAGAAAAAATTAGGGCAGGACTTCATTTTGTCTATCAGCAATTGATTGGATCGTGGTGGCTATTGCTGTGATCTCATGTGAGTGACAGTTTGTCCCGCCCTCACTCCGAAAAACATGTCATCAGAGAAGAGAAAAGATGTCGCTGCAAGTGGGAGGGGAAGTTATTTTGATGAAAGTTTATGAGGGCATATGAATTTTCAAAAAGTAATGAAGTGCACAGAGAAACCCCTTTATAATACCACCGTATTCCAATAACATTTTATTTCATGGTGAGTTTAGAGGGATATCTCACCCAAAAATGAAAATTCTTTCAGTTTCAAAAATGTGTGCATATCTGATGAACTTGACCTAAATGATGCTATTTCCTGTCTTCAGGTTCTCTCCTATGAGTGTAGACCACATGAGCGGCATGTCTGGCGTTAACATGCCTGGAAACTCCTCGTCAGGCTGGTGTATTTTTATTTACAACCTGGGCCAGGATGCAGATGAGGGCATTTTGTGGCAGATGTTCGGGCCCTTCGGTGCCGTCACAAATGTCAAAGTGATCCGTGATTTCAACACCAACAAGTGCAAGGGATTTGGGTTTGTTACCATGACAAACTATGAAGAGGCTGCCATGGCTATTGCCAGCCTCAACGGCTACCGCCTCGGGGACAAGATTTTACAAGTATCGTTCAAAACAAGCAAGTCGCACAAGTAGAAAGCAGGGTTGCTAGGAAAATGAAGGCGAAGCCAGAGAAATTGACGACGTTTTGAAAAAGAAAATTATTATTTTTAGTGTAATCAAGTCTTCGCAAATGTTCACGTTTCGCAGTCTCGTTTAGACAGTTTCTTTTAAGATTCAAGCTGTTTGATGCTTCAAATGCAAGTGTTTTAGGCGTTCTGGTTTATCCCAATATATGACCAATTTTTCGTTTAATTCAAATTTGTCTCTGATGTTAGCCTGGTATTGTTATGTGCCATATGTGGTCGGACACCTCATTCACCAGATGCTGGATTTAAAACTCAGATTTTTTTCTTTAGTTTTGTCAGTATCTACATCCTATATAGCTCTTCAGTATTTACGATGCCTTAATTTGATGTCATTTTTCCACTTTGCCCTCAATAATGTAGCACTTTTTGGTTTGGCAGGAATCTCATTACCCATCTCACAACAGTTCATTTGTTTGTTTAAATCTGAGTCTTAAATCCTGCATGCTGAGTGCTCCATAGAAAAGAGGTAACGGCAAAGAAAATGCCTGTTTTAGTGAGGGGAAAATCTTTAACTAACTTGTTAATCTTTTGTAAGGGACCCTCTGAAAAGACTGAACTAAGAAGGACCAAAGACATGAATGGAAGGTTTAGTTTCTCCCGGCAGAGGTGCATGTTGCACATCCCTAAAAATATTCCAAAAATATTTGGACATTGAATACTAGGTACTGAGTATTTATGTAAAATGTAATCACATTTGAGCATCAGCATCTTCTGTTTATGGTTTGCGTTTTCTTTTGTTTTTGTTTCTCTAGGCTAATACATTAAGTTTAGTTTGTTTATTTGAAAATGGATATCCAGTACTAATGCAAATGCTTTTTAAGACTGCCTTGTGATATTTGTGTTGTTTTTTTCTTTTTCTTTTTTTGCTTTTGTGTTTCCTTTGGAAACCTTTCATTTTGTTTCACATGGCATTTACAATCATTAAATTTTATTTTGTTTTGCTCAACTTTTTGTTTTGTTTCTTTATTTTATCTTTTAATTAGTTCTTTAATTTGATCCATTTATAGGTACAATGCAGTGTAAGTCAACTCAAGACTATTTCCATATTTACAGATGCAGATGGCTGAGTTTAAGGCCCTTTCACACCAAGAATAACAATAATCATAACTATATTAGCATCCACACCAGTAGTAAAGAACGTTTTATTAAATCTAAGTGTGCTTGTTTTTTGTCTTTTTGTCTGCCATTTTAAACGCTCAAGCTTCTTAGAGGGATAGTTAACCCAAAACTATCCCTATTTTTTTCATTACTTACTTGCCCTCAAATTGTCCCAAACCTATGTCTGTCTTCTGCTGAACACAAAAGAAGATATTTTGAAGAATGGTGGTAACCAGACAGTTGATGGTGCCCATTGACTTCCATAGTAGGAAAAGAAATACCATGGAAGTCAATGGGGCCCATCAACTGTCTCGTTACCAACATTCTTCAAAATATATTGTGTTCAACAGAAGAAAGAAACTCATACAGGATTGGGACAACATGAGGGTGAGTAAATGATGACAAATTTTCATTTTTGGGTGAACTATCCTTTTAAAGTCAGGTGGATTCTCATTAGCTGATTCTGATTTTTATGTCTTATCAGATCAAAATCGTTCTGAAAGTGATTCAACGATATTGTTTCTCTGTGCCGTTATAGTTGTGGTGTGTGCCATGCTAATATATATTTAGAAGGATTGTTTTATTTAGAACCATCTTTGTTGATGGTTATCGCCCTTGGTGCGAAGGGGTCTTTAGCCCCCAAGACCTCACGAGAAACACTAAATTACCACATTTCATGGTTTAATTTTGAGTATGAGATCTTAGGTATTTATTTTTCAGGCATCGGACCAAATCATAAATATACAATCTGACAACGTTTGACTTATTTGATTTGGCCAATGGAGTGCCATTTATTTTGCCTTTCTCAGTGGTTCATGTTTAACTTTTTCCAGAGGTTTTCAGCTGTAGTTCTCATTAATGAGCGGTGGGGAAGATAGAAACGGATAGAAACTCAATCTAACAGTTGTACAGTCATGTTCCTCAGCTCTGGCTCCTCTTGAGGTCTTCCAAATATTAGTTTGTAAAGCCCCACATAGGTTCCTCTGTAGTTTCACAAACCCATAAATTTTCCATGATCTTGTGTAAATTGATCATTTTCAGCACAGACAGTTCTTAGGCTCCCTCTGCTACAAGACTTAAGGTTGGTATTGTGTGTGCGTGCATATATTTATATTATTGGTGACTGACATTAATCCTAATCCTAAATGTTTTTGTACAGTGACTCACTGTTTTTTGTCAGGTTTGTAATAAGCAGTTTACTATACTTGCATCATCTGTTACTTTATGGTTCATGTGAACCTATTAGCAGCTTTACAGCCACTGTTGGTTACATGTCATTTCTATGAAACACTTGGCATTCTCTTTTTGTGCACGTTTCGGCATATGTGCAATATTGAAAAGTGATTTGTAATGAATAGTAGTAATTATTATAGCAACCGTTTCCCTTTTCGTCTTTTTGATATCCTGATGCTTTAAAAAATAATATTGCCCAATGTTTGAGTCAACTGAGATGCCAGTTGTAAGAAATATCAAATAGGATTTACTGGATGGTTGCTCATTTTAAGCCTTAATTTATGTAGAATATACTGGAAGTTTATTGAATGGTGGAATTATTTATATAGCTTGTGTATGGTTTTATGTGTTGATATTGATGAGTGTCTTAATTTTTTTAAAAATACTTTTTGATTCTACATTGAACATCTGTTATGAGCTACTGTCTAACATGTAGTTGTGAAATAAAATATCAGGCATCATTGCAAAATCAGAAAATTTGTGTCTTGGTATTAGTGAAGTAGATCTAGGAGGAGTATTAAACATTTTTGGTTTGGGATTTTATAGGTGGTTTTTGGTATTTTGGTAAATTTTAGAAGGTATAAACTAACCATATTGTAGTTCTTTTTCTTTTACAGTATGAATAATGAAGACCAATAACAAGGTTAATTTAACAATTTTATTAAGAAAATAAACAAACATAACCAAGCATGATAATCTATATTCCATCCCACTTGAAATGAACAGTGATTGTGTGCTCTGAACATAAGTAATAGATACACAATCGCTGTTCTTGCAGTCATTAAAAAAATCAGTTTGTTGTCACCGTACACTGTATGACAAGGCAACTGATGATCCATAATTGGAGCCCCAGTTGATTTACTAGCTGTGTAATGCTCCTGTTTGTACAGGGTTTTATTATTGTGGTCTAGTTTTAGTTTTACTGTCATTAACTACTGCATTAAGGCAATTCTAAAAGATGAACATAAAAAAAAAAAAAACACGTTTTTGTAATTTACAAAACCTCCAAGTTAAGGTGTCAAAAGCACTCAAATGTCCTCAATTTTCAAGTTCACCAAAGGCGAATGTTGAGGTAACAGTAACATCTGTGATGTAAAAAGACATAATGGCACAAATATATATATATAACAAAGGGGGAAGGTTTTTGTGAAGTCAAGGCAGCTTCTGTTCCTGCTTGGTATCATCTGTCAAAGTTAGACTTGGCAGAGGTTGTAACATGTCGGCTTCTCGATCACCTGATCGCCCATAACCTCTAAGATGTAGTCCCTATTAGCCAGTAGTGGAGTTTCAGATGTGGGAAAACTTTGCACGCTTTGGTTTCCAAAAGATATCATAGTATCTCTCTGCAAGACAAAATACAGCCATTACTCAGTTGTCAAATATGACAGTTTTGACTACTTGTTGCTGGTGAACAACGGACCACTACTGCACGATACTTGGTTATTTGCATATTTTCTAGTTAGAAATATTTCTAAGCACATAGTGGATATATCTTACTCTCTCTGAGTTGTTTGTGGATGGGACGTCTTTCTGAAAATCCTTTTTGCACACGTGAGCCATGATTCCTGCGGCTAAGGCGTCTCCAAGCACATTGATCATCGTTCGAAATCGGTCCCTATTAAAAAAAAGACGCATGAGATTGACTATTTCTATTGTGGGTTATAAGTAGTAGCACTCATGCAGTATGTTGTACTTACAGGATCCAGTCGATAGCTACAATGAGTGAGATGTCATCTGGAGGCAAACCCACTGAGGTAAGAACAATAACCATGGTAACAAGACCAGCCTGAGGGATTCCAGCTGCTCCAATGCTTGCTGCTGTAGCTGTGATACTGAGAAAAGAGTCAAGGTCAAGTCACATGAGGCGATCACTGGCAAATGCAGCTTTGTTACTGTATACTATCAGTCAGAAGTTTGGAATAATTCAGGTTTTTGAAAGATGCTCAAGGCTGCATTTATTTAAAAGGTTAGTTCACCCAAAAATGAAATTTCTATCATTAATTACTCGACCTCATGTCGTTGCAAATCCATAAGAACCCATTATTGGCCGACGCTGTTCACGTGAGCACCACGACGCAGGAGCTGGCCAATAATGAGCCTGCATTCTGACGAAGAACCTGGAAGTGCTGCACTGTGTTTACTATGTGATCAGCGTAAGAGACTGACACAGAACTGAAGAAATTGTTGAATAAAGGGTTATTTTTTGCGCACAAAGTATTATCATCGCTTCATAACATTAAGGTTGATGCACTCTAGTCACATGGACTATTTTAACAATATTTTTACTACCTTTCTTGGCCTTGAAAGTTGCAATGAACCTATAGCTGGTTCAGAAACCTCTCGGATTTCATCTAAATATCTTAATTTGTGTTCCGAAGATGAACTAAGGTCTTAGGGGTTTGGAACGACACGAGGGTGAGTAATTAATGTACAATTTCATTTTTGGTTGAACTAACCCTTTAAACAAAAATACTGTTAAAAACAGTAATATTGTGAAATTTCAATTCAGAACTGTTTTCTTATTTAAAATGTAATTTATTCCTGTGATGAAATTTCCCAGTCTTCTGTGTCACACTTTCCTTTCAGAAATCACTCTAATATGCTGATTTGGTGCTCAAATAGTTATTCTTATTACTATGAATG